TATATATACACACACACACACACATAGGGGTGATATCCGTTAAGAACTCATAGTTTCCCGAGAACCCGATAACTAAAAGTGAAACGTTAGATCAAAATTAAGTCATTAAGGGCATGATCATCATGTTACCATCTCATTTATTGTTTATTATTATTTTATGTGTTATAGGAAATATTAATAAAGAAGTTTACAAATTAACATTATAGATCAACATTTCGAAAAACAACAAAAAAATGTATAAAAACTAGAATATTATAACAAAAAAAAAAGCCATAATTTTTAACCAAAAAAAATAACGTTTCAGCTGAATAAATACATATTTTTTTCAAGTAAATATATTCACTATATTGTTTGTAATTAAATAATAGAAAAAATCATTTTATTTACTAATCTATAAACACAATATTACAAGTATTTTATTCGATAAAACAAAAAATGCTACAAAGATTCAAAATGTTATCATTTCTTTGTGTCAAGACTTCTATATTTTCTTCAATTTATCACTTTTTACCTCTTCAATATTTTCCACAATTTCTTCCAAATTTACAAGAAAATTAAAAAAAATAATGCAAGAAAACTCATAAAAATGCATGTTTGCATATAAACATGATTCACTTGTGATTCACTTGTGATATACTTATGAATTACATGTGATTCACTTGTGATTTACGTGTGAATCATATGTAATTCATATGTGATTCACTTGTGATTTACATATGATTTACATGTGAATCATATGTAATTCATATGTGATTCACTTGTGATTTACATGTGAATTACAAGTGATTTACATGTGAATCATATGTAACTAATATGTTATTCACTTGTGATTTACATGTGAATCATATACATGTGATTCACTTGTGATTTACATGTTAATCATATTTAATTCATATGTGATTCACTTGTGATTTACATGTGATTCATTCGTGATTTNATCATATGTAATTCATATATGATTCGCTTGTGATTTACATGTGATTCAATTGTGAATTACATGTGATTCACTTGTGATTTACATGTGAATCATATGTAATTCATATGTAATTCACTCGTAATTTACGTGTGAATTGCATGTGATTCACTTGTGATTTACATATGAATCATATGTAATTCATATTAGATTCACTTGTGGTTTACATCTTAAAGACTCAATCATAGTAATAATCAACTACACTTTAGAAATTACCTTTCCAACATGATAAGCAATGAGATAGTAAACAATCATCAAAACACAGACAAGCCCCATAAAATTAGCACCCACAGCAAACCCATATCTTGTTGATATTGCTTGTGGAATTACCTAGTATATTATAATACTTTAGTCGTGATCATGTAAAAAGGAATATAATACGATACTAATAACTAGTTAAAATCCTCTCCAAATATTAGCACAAAGGTTACTGACAACAACACTACAACAGCTCAATGAATATGCATCTGTTTTGTTCTTTAGATAAACAACTTTGAAAAAACGAGTGTCCAATTCTTTTAGCCTTGTCCACTGTCATGTTTATAGAAGCAGGATGAAACCTGAACCAAAAGGGTATCAAAGTTTATAAACTAAAAACATCATAATCTAAAAGTAGATTCATTGAAAGCATATCAAGATTTCAGGAGTCCTTCAAATTTACTACTTTTGTTTATTAGCATATATGTACACTTTTTAAAGAAAGAATTTTTTTTTGATAATTCAATGCAAATTAAGTAAAGATTACTTACCAATAGCACCAATTGCGTCAAGACGATCAACATCTTGCCCAACACCAAATTCCAGTGTATAAGATTGAGAACCATTTGACGCTCCATTTATTTCCTCTTTAAAATATTCAACATTTAATAATTAATAATCAGATAAAGCAATGATTGAGACTTAAAAGTTGAAAGTTATTCCTAATGCAGAAATATAACAAGCAACATCAACAAAAGGAACATACTCATTCGCTTTATAATATCTAAAATCTTGCTGTTTTTATCGATGTGATTATGATTGAGATTGAGTCCTTCATTGCAGTTTATTCAGTTTTCTCCAAATGAAGTTGGATTAGGTTGGCCAGGGCTAATATGTGTTGCTTCAATGGGGAGATGATTTCTAAAATTTCCAAGATCTATAAAAGAAAAAGACAAAGAAACATTGTTGCAATTGCTGTTAAAGAAGGGTATTCTAATAGATGAAATCCCTTGAGAGATGTTTTTAGTTTTGTATGAATTGAATGGATGGAATGCACAGGTTATATTGGGTAACAAAGAGGGTATGAGAGAGGTCTGGTAGTGGATTGATGAAAGAAAATGCATTGCATCATCGTGCAGATGTTGTTTCATCACTTGTTGCTCTTATAGGGGTTGGTAAGAAACATCAAGCACTTGATTTAACATATGAAAATTAGTATTCATCCATTCATGATTTAGGTGGATCTATTCTTAGGGTGATGTTTCTTGATCCCCTTGTTGGGCTTGTTGTCTCTGGCATAATTATAAAGGCTGGACTCCAAACTGGTTACCGGAGGTAATATTTGCTCTTGGATATTTAACAAATTGTACTCATGACTAGAAAGTATTATTTATACGAATCATTTTTTGTCCAGTATTTTGGAACTGGTGGATGCTGCAATACCATCTCATCATTTGGACCCAATCAGAAAGACAGTGCTACAAGTCAAAGGAATGAAGACAACTTCACTATTGAATCTCTCTCATCATCACTTGTTTGTTGTTGATATAAAATAAAATTCTACACTTTTACAGGGATGCAGACACATTAGGGGAGAGCTGGTTCATATCTTTATCTTGATGTAAAGATCCAGGTGACTTGCCTACCTCATACTTACTTACACTTACATACATACATGATAGTGTTAGGTTTGTTTATTTATTGTGTTGGATTGCATTGAATTGCAGGTTAATCCCTTGTGTAGTGTGAGCAGAGCACATGAAATTGGTGATACCATATTCAGAATTTCCATCCTCAAGTTTCTGAAGTCTTCATACACTTGGGTATGTTACTTCATTATTGCATTATTATATTATTTATAACTAAACTAGGATTCTTTATTTACTTGATATGTTTCACTTTGCAGAGCCGGCCAATAAACTTTTTGTCCAGCAACAAGAAGAAAATAGGATTGAAGAAATGATTACTAATATATATTATTTATAACTAAACTGAAAAACAACGGTTTCGAGTCCTCGGGAGATGTAATCGACTAAGAACATATGGATTGTTCCATCGGATGATCCGACAACTACTTCGGCAGATCCTGGAGCATTGTGGCATAGAGTGCACGAATGATTCAGAGAGATACGAAAGTAGGTAATTACCTCAGATTGATCCCAGAGTTAATTGAAGGCGACGGAGTCTCTGGAAGCGGTGAAGATGTTGACATCTCCGAGTACATCAGCGATTTCAGGGGAGAATTCGGCGGTGGAAGAAGCTTTTGGGACAAGTGCAGTTGGAGTTTTTCTGTTTGGATGTAGATTCAGGGAACGTATGGTGGTGGTTGTGGTAGGAGACAAGATATATGGAAACATGGTGTCGTTCTCCGCCTGAGACTCCTCGATGTCCTTCGTCGCTGATTATTCTTTTGGCGTCATTTCGGAGCCCTAACTGATCAATTAGGGCTTGAACTCTCAGCTTCTTCTTTGTTTTTTATAACGGCCGAGGGAGATGGTCGATGTAGGTGGTGATCTCCGATAATGACCTAGATGCGGTGCTGAAGAGCCGACTCGCCAGCGTCGGTTGTGGGGGAGGCGAAATCGCGACACCAGAATGGGAGAAGGTGAGGATCGTTTGGGGAAGAACGCATGTGACGTTAGGAATTTTTTTTCTTTTTTAGTAAATAAGATTTAACATATAATCTAATAAACTAATAATATCTAATACCCTTCTCTAATTTAATTGGTAATGTCCTCGCCTCTTTAGTTTTATGATTATTTACAAAAATGTCAGCTTGCATCTATATATATATATATATATATATATATATATATATATATATATATATATATATATATATATAT